TTTTTTTTTTTTTGAAATCAACTGTAGAAGTAACTCTAAATTTTAGTTAAGACTAAATTTGTGCAACTAATATTGAAAATTTATAATTCAAACAAACTATAATATTTTTTTTCCTTAAAAAAAATATTCTTTACTCTTTCATATTATTTTAAATTTAAGTGAAGGTTAATAGTTATTACGATGCTATATAAGATCAAAGTTGGCATAAAATGTATTAATAACACATCTAATATTAAAATTCGGTTCTTAATTTCGGTTCGGTTCATTTTCGGTACGAATATTTGTGAAATATCCAAAATCGTACCAATAATTTTTTTGGTTCGGTTCGGAGAAAGCCAAACGGTGAACGGTTATTTTTCGATTCGAATGTGATTTAAGTTTGGTTTTCGAAACAGTTCGAAATTATTCGAGTCCCATGTTCAGCCCTATTCAGAAGCCTCTAAACCCAATTACTAATCAAACATCCATTTGACCAAAAAATATTATTATTATTATTATTATTATTATTATTATTATTATTAATAATAATAATAATAATAATAATAATAATTATTATTATTATTATTATTATTTTGGTACAAACCAGAAGTTATTATTACCAAATAAGACCAGCAATGTCTATGATTAGTTTATATAATTTACCAGTCAATACAAATAAATGATTGTTGTAAATAATTAGTTGTGGATATTGGTAGCTCCAAGCTCATTAGACTATTATCAATTTATAGTGCATTATATCCTATATATAAAAAAAGGTTTATGTTCTCTTATTTATCTATTTATTTTATTTATGTATGTTTGATCATATGAGACAATTTGAGTTATATTCCTTTATATTAACGACTTCACAATTTACTATATTTATTTCTTATTTTTTTTTTCTTTCTCCATTAACATATTCATGTTGGATTATACTAGACAATCTATATATAAATTGCCTATCAAATTGTCATAAATATATGAGTAAAATGCAATTATAGTATTGTACGTTTCATTACTCTAATTTTTTTTGTCCACTTCGAATTGCGTTTTCTTTTTCGTCTCGTATTTTTGCAAAAAGATTACAAAAATATTATTTTTCGCAACAAAAAGGTCATTTTTCTTTTGAAAAAAAAAAATGTTTCAATTTCGTCCAATATATATTAAAAGGACCATTTTATAACCTATATGTAAACATACGAGACAAAAAAAAAAACACTATTCGAAGATGATGAAAAATCAGGATAGTGAAACATATAACTAAAATTGTTGTTTACTCTGAATATGTAATTTAAAAAAAAATGCTACAATCCCGTTACAGAACCATTTCGTCGAGATTTATAACTATTAGATTATCATGTAACCATAGGGGATAATTGATCTAGCGGTCACAAATTCCGACAAAATGATTCCGTAACTGTACCCTAGAATCTCCCTACAAAAAGTTAAATAGGAGAACTAATCAGTTATTTATTTATTTATTTATTTTTTCAGTGGTTCACAAAGCACCCATAGCTTTCAGCCAACAATGGCAAGAAACCCACTTTTCGTGTCCAAAAGGAAGCAGCTAAAATCAGGCAAATGCAAAATAAATAAATAATAAAAAAAAAGAAGCTAAAATTAATCTCAGCCTCACGATTTCACCCTAATAATTGCAAAAACCCATCTCCATTAATATCTTCCTACTCACTCAACTAAAAACTTCCATCTCTGCAAACCTTATTCCAATGGCAGCATAGCAATCGTGATTTAACGTACTTAAAAATCGTTGCTTTATTTCATAAGCATCTTAATTATGACAGCTCAGGCGGAGAAAAACGAAATAAAGTAATATTTAAACAAGATTTTTTTTTCTTTTTGTTTCCCCCTAAAGCCCACAAAAGGTCTCGGCGCTTGGCTTTCACCATCATCAGCTCCTCAACCTGCATTGGAGGAGGCAATCGAGGTGAAAATAATCACTTTCAGAATATGGGTTTTGCTTTGCTCTTTCTCCTTGTTATGATTCTTTCAGTATTTTTTCGGTAGGACCTTTTGTAGATTCAGGAGTTTTGTACGCAAGCGACGTCGTTTTTGGGTTTTTTTGTGTAAGCTTTGCTCCATTGATTCCTGCATATGTTGTAAGCTTTTTATGGATTAAAGGTTTACTGGGTTGATGTAAAAATTGTTGCTTTGTTCGTGTTGTCTATGCATGAGTTCCACGGATCTGTGTTTAGGGAAATTAAAGGTGATTTTGTTGGAGTTTATTTGCATTTTAAACTCGGGGGAATTGTTTGGTTAGTCTAAAGACTCTGGCTTTAGGGTGTGTGGGGTGTTCTATTATTATTATTAATAATTTTTTTTTTCGGGTTTTTGTTTTTGGTTTTGTTCCCTTTTGGGTACAGAATCAGGATGTATTCTTGAGTTGAATTGTTATTTTAGTATCTGTTGCTCTTTTCACTTTCAGAACTTGCTTTTATTTCAAAGTTTACATTGAAAATGTGTTTTTGTTCCCCTTGAAAAAATGAAAAGTGACTTCATGTTTCGTATTTGTTTAGAGAGTGGTAATTATGTAGTTCGTGGAAAAACGAACAATCCCGCACAAAAAGCACTTAGATTGTCAAAGGATTAGGATTTGCTTGCCATGTAAGTTTTCAAACTTAGTAAAAACATATGTTAACTGTTGATTGACATTGATCAGAACCACATGTGTTCTTGTGAAATTTGTATCAATGAAATAAATGCATTTGATCAGCCTAAAAGGTAAAAACCACGTGTTCTTTTACGAAATTTGTAGATGCAGAGTAAATGCATTCGTTGCAATTGTACCATTGCTCGATTTTTCCCAATTTATTCTGGTGGGTCCCTTTTAACGACTGCTGGTTGTTTGATGACTAGAAGAGTTTAGAAGATATTATTGAAGCTCATTACTTTGCTGCTGTCAATTGTCATGGATGCTTATTTTGGTGTTATCTTCTGATTTATTAGTTTTTTACATTCACATCTATCTAGGATTATGGACGGGTCATTCCAGGATGTTAGTAGTGTTGATTCTTTCTTGAGGAACTACAAGCTCGGGAAAACTCTTGGAATTGGTTCCTTTGGTAAAGTTAAAATTGCCGAACACGCGTTGACTGGGCATAAGGTTGCAGTTAAGATCCTTAACCGTAAGAAAATAAAGAATATGGACATGGAAGAAAAAGGTTAGCCAAATTCGGGCAGTGTTTGTAATTTGGAATCTTAAAGTTCTTTTAAAAAAGCACTAATTTTGTATAGGAAGTTGTTTCATTACAGCACTAAAGAGTGATTTTGCTTATTGCAGTTAGAAGAGAAATCAAAATTTTGAGATTGTTCATGCATCCTCACATTATACGTTTGTACGAGGTTGTGGAGACACATTCTGACATATACGTTGTGATGGAATATGTGAAGTCGGGTGAGTTGTTCGATTATATAGTCGAAAAAGGCAGGTTACACGAGGAAGAAGCTCGTGTGTTTTTCCAACAGGTAGTAATCTTTTGCTTTCTATTCGTGTGTGTGTGAGTTAAATGCTGCTTCTTTCATTCACATTGCATGTAAAAATGCATTTGTTTTCTTTTTCTTTTTTTTTTTGGTGGTGTGACTGCAGATCATATCTGGAGTGGAGTACTGCCATAGAAATATGGTTGTTCATAGAGATTTGAAGCCCGAGAACTTACTTTTGGATTCTAAACACAACGTGAAGATTGCCGATTTTGGTTTGAGCAATATCATGCGAGACGGCCATTTTCTGAAAACAAGTTGTGGAAGCCCCAACTATGCTGCTCCAGAGGTGTACATAAAATGCATACAATAAATGTGAAAAATAAGTGATGTTATTAAGTGTTCCTATAAATGATATGCTGAAAGCATTTAATTTTGTGGCTTTTATAAATTGGTAGGTAATATCTGGTAAATTATACGCTGGACCTGAAGTGGATGTGTGGAGCTGTGGTGTTATTCTCTATGCACTTCTCTGCGGGACCCTCCCGTTTGACGATGAAAACATTCCCAACCTGTTTAAAAAAATAAAGGTACATTTCATATTTAGTATTTTTACTTTAATTGTCCACATTTTGTAAGTTCATAGTTATGATAATGTTGGACTCTTAGAATTATTACTTGATGGTGTCCTAAGGCTAATTGTTAGAGTGAGTTTATATATAAAATAAGTCAATCCATACTAAAAATCTAACTCAATTTTAACTCATCCTCACTGTCCTCAATATTATCAATATAATTAAATAGTATCACTTGATCATTCTTACGCATCACATCAATTGTAATTCACTATTCATCCACTCACATAATTTTATATCATATTAACTTTTAATTATTTTTTTTTGAAATATTATTTTAATACAGATTAACCATAGTTAACAAAAAAAACTCGTTTTGAGCAGATATATTTGTATCCAAGCATGCCCTTAGGCTTTTAATACAGAACTTTGTTTTAATTCACGAGCATTTACCTGGCACCTGCATACAATCGTACTATTAGAGTACTAAATATTTTCGAGCAAAAAAAGGTGACATTTTATTGCATATTGTCTTCCAGGGTGGAATATATACACTCCCGAGCCATTTATCTGCTAGTGCAAGAGATTTGATTCCTAGGATGCTTATAGTTGATCCCATGAAGCGGATGACTATTCCTGCCGTGCGTGCACACCCTTGGTTCGTGTCTCATCTCCCGAGGTATTTGGCTGTGCCACCACCCGATACAACCCAGCAAGCTAAAAAGGTTCGTTTAGTGGAATTTGCAGTGCAAAAATCTCGATATTTCATATTATATGCATAAAAGTTTGCAAGGACATGTAACTCCTTATCATCTTTATTACCTTTTTTTTTTCTCTATTGGTACTGTTGATTTTTCGATTGATGGAGATCCTTTCGTATGGTTTTTCATATTATGAGTATAAACTAAAAACCTCATGAAAACTAAAAACCTCTCTTCATGAAGTTTTATTTTTTTTCATGTGTTAATCAGATTGACGAAGATATTCTTCAAGAAGTGATTAAGATGGGATTCGACAGAAATGCACTTGTAGAATCTCTTCGAAATAGGGTTCAGAACGAGGTGAACTTTTGTTAATTTTTTTTTTTTTTTTT